GAAGATACAAGAAAAGGTTATCAGAAGTTATCAAAAAAAGTTTAAAATCCTATGAAATTAAACCAATACCACCATGCTTGTAAAATAAAACGCTAATACGCAACGGAAGGGTAGCTCAACCACAGAAAAAAATACAAATAAAAATAAACACGCCCGTTAGTTAAAAAAATTCACGGAGCCTTCACATTTCTGTTATCAGAAACAACCACACTCCTAAAAACTGTGAAGCACCCGGAAATGAAATTTTTTTTAAATTATTTTAGACTGAAAAAGAAATCTTTTTACACATTTGAACACGCTATGCCATCACCATGAATGGATTTGAACTGAAAATGGTCAGCTTGAAATTTTGTCACTAAGTTGTGTTAAGCTAACTGCACACAGTATCAGAACAGAAAATCAAAAACAATCCAGCATTCGAAAAAAAAAAACTGATAGAGGAAAAACATCAAATAAAAAATTGCTTCAAAATGAAATTGAAGCCTGTTCAAAAACTTGCAAAAAAATCCAACATGCGTTCAATGAGATGAAACTTCATTGATCTATTCAATCTGGAAAAGAAGGCAGTTAAACGGCTTCTCTTCTGCTCACTTTAGAAGGGTATCAGATAAAAATTTTGCATCAAAACATATTTTACGTGCTTAAAGACAATGAAAATTGAAAAAAAAATTTGAAGTCGAAATTTGGCGGAGAATTAGCTTTTGGTGAGCTATAATAGATTACAAATAAGAATTTTGATTTTCTCGTCATCTGTTAAGTTTATCGAGGTTAGGTATTTTTTATTTTTTTTTCCATTCTGAATTTTTTTTATCAACTACTGGACTTATGAAGCTAAAACTGTGCATGGGAACGCTTCGTAGATTGTATAAAACAACCTCCACGAGTAAAATGTGTAAAAAAATTTTCGGCTCATTTCACGATTTTCAATTTTGGAGTGAATTCTAACACTCTCGAACACATCGTTCATTCAGATGAAACATCACTGACAGCAATTTTCTAGTTATGAAACCACACTGAATGAACATTTTCTGTATCTGCTACTTTTTTCAAAACTATCAGATAGTCTTTTGGCCGGAGAACCGTAAGTCAAGATAGATGAAGCAAAAAAAAAACGGAGCAGTTAAACGGCTTCTCTTCTACTCACTTTAGAAGGGTATCAGATAAAAATTTTGCATCAAAACACGTGCTTAAAAACGATGAAAATTAAAAAAAAAATTATGAAGTCGAATTTTGGCGGAGAATAAGCCTTTGGTGAGCTATAATAGATTACAAATAAGAATTTTGATTTTCTCGTCAATTGTTAAGTTTATCGAGGTTAGATATTTTTTATTTTTTTTTTATTCCATTTTGATTTTTTTTATCAACTACTGGACTTATGAAGCTAAAACTGTGCATGGGAGCTCTTCCTAGACTGTATAAAACAACCTCAAATGTGTAAAAAAAATTTCGGCTCATTTCACGATTTTCAATTTTGGAGTGAATTCTAACACTCTCGAACACATCGTTCATTGAGATGAAACTTCACTGACAGCAATTTTCTAGTTATGAAACCACACTAAATGAACATTTTCTGTGTCTTCTACTTTTTTTCAAAACTCTCAGATAGTCTTTTGGCCGGAGAACCGTTTGTGGCTAAGTCAAGATAGATGAAGCAAAAAAAAATTTCTCCAAATATAACGGTAATCGAGGTGTTAAAAAGGCAACGTACAGAAAACGAAGATCTTGAAAAAGGGATTATCATGTGAACAAAGATCTTTACGGGAAAAGTCTAGTACCCGATTGCAATGCGCTTGGGTATCGCAAGGGTAATTGAACAGTTTAGTGGAATTTTGCCGCAACCTATTAACTTCATCGAACTCGTGACTGCAAAGCCACTTAAACCGAAAAGCAAGCCATCACCTCTCTTTTCGATCGAGAAATGAGCTTTCGAGAAATGGAAAATTTTTGAATGGCTTTTTTTTGGTGTAATGGCTTTTTTGCATCAAGGTTGTTTCTCTCATCAACCATTGGAAACAAGTTGATGAAATTGTGTATGTACACTCTCCATAGTGTCTAAAAAATATCCTGAAAAAAAATTGTTCGATTAAAAAAAAATTTGCGTATTCTTTTCAGTTTCATATTTCTTAAGAACACTGATAGTTTCGAATATGTTGATCAAGGAAAACCGTTCGTGGCTCAATCAAGTGATGTGAAGTTTGAAACAAAAACTCAGACGTTTAAAAAAATCAATTTTTCAAATTAAAATTTTCGCTTCTCAAATTCAACCCCTGCTGAAGAAACTTTCATTGCTAAAAAGTGAAATTCTGTTAGGTATATGTCTTACAGTTGGTTTGAGATGCTATGGTTGATTTTGGGGTTCTTTTTAATTTGTTGGTGTTGACAATTTGAAAGATGTTTTTTTTTCAATTTTAGGTTTGGGGGTTCAAATATCATTGTTTTTCACTAAAATTTTCATCCGGTTCACCTCTTAAAAGAAGGCTCAACCGTAACATAATGTTTTAGTTTAGTTTCATATCGAAATTGTTGATTTTTGGATGATTTTGTGGCTAGGGGTTTTTTTGGGTTTCCCTCTTTTTTTTAAATTTTAGTCATCTTTCTTGTTGATAATGCTATTAACCCTAGTTTTTTGTGTTTTTTAAAAGGTGTAACAAATTTTTTATTGCTCTTTGGTGGTTTTTGGACTTACTAAGTGTTTTTAGACGAGTTTTAGCTAATTTCCGAAAAAAAGAGGTTTAGAAAACAGGCTTTTTTCTATACCCCAATTTTAGGGTGTGGCGTCAAATACTCACTTTCTTGTTTTTCACTATAATTTTCAGTCAATTCCTATCTTGAGAAAGGTTTAATTCGTAACATTATTTTTATTCCATTTAATTATAGATTTTTTGGTTATTTTGTTGTTTTTGGGGCCAGGACACTTTTTCGGCAGTTTTCCTTTTATTTTCTAACTTTTAGTCATTTTCCTTGTTGAAAACTCTGTTAAATCAAACTTTTCTGTGTTTACTCAATGAAGTAAGAACCTTTTTAGTAGTTATTGGTTTTTCGGGATTTTAGTAAGGGTTTTCAGACGAATTTCAGCTATTTTCCAAAAAAAAATAGACCCTTGTCTTTTTTTGGTGTCAACCCCAAGTTCCAAAAAGTGACAGGGAGAAAACACTTTTTGGCGTCACTTTTTGGCTACATAAATTTTCCTGCTCATGTCACTTTCTGCAGACCACGTAGCCACAAAGTGACCGGGCTAGGACCCTAAGCCGGTAAAAATTGGCCTGAAATCAATTGAGCCTAAAAAAGAACAATTTTTCATCTGAAAATTTTTTCACCAGTACATCCAGCAACGCACCAACTCTAAAAACGGTATTCGAGGTGTTAAAAAGGCAACGTACAGAAAACGAAGATCTTGAAAAAGGGATTATCATGTGAACAAAGATCTTTACGGGAAAAGTCTAGTACCCGATTGCAATGCGCTTGGGTATCGCAAGGGTAATTGAACAATTAAGTGGACTTTTGCCAAAACCTATTAACTTCATCGAACTCGTGACTGCAAAGCCACTTAAGCCGAAAAGCAAGCCATCACCTCTCTTTTCGATCGAGAAATGAGCTTTCGAGAAATGAAAAATTTTTGAAAAAAAAAATAGAAAACAGCAAAAGCTTCATACTTTGCAAGTAAAATCTTTTTACACGAATTTCGGAACAACGTTTCTGCGGGAAAAAACTTTACAACCGCTTAATTCAATCTAATCCTCAGTCTCATTACAATTTGATTTTTACAAGTGTTTTAGCTTTTCTTTTTCAAAAAAAAGGCGTACCGGCTTATGCAGCGAAGAAACCCACAGTCTGTTAGTTCGATTGAACAATTAATTTGAGAATTGGAAGGGTAGATTTCGAGAAAAGTCAACTTTTCCAAAAAAAATGTCAAAAATCTTTTCCGAAAACCAACAATTTTAATTTGAAAAAACTTAGGGGTTATCTGCTTACGCAGGGGAGCTTCTTGCATCCTATTTTTTAAGATGAAACTAAAATCTGAGGTTTGTGAGAGTAGTTTGTATGAAATTCAAAATTTTTTCGAAAAACGGTCAAAAAAATCAAAAACTTTTTCGAGGGGCACAAGTTTTCGTTTGAAAAACTTTGGCGGAGCCGCTTATACAAAAAAAAAATCCCACAACCCAAAATCAAAATCTCAGATTAGTTTTTAAGTTCTGGAGATAAGTTTTTAAGAAAAGTAAAAAAAAACGTCACAAAATCAAAAATTCCGTGAGCATTTACCCTTCAGTGTAAGAAATTTTATGTAGCTGAACATTCAGAGGAGTCTCCAAAAGTGTTTTTTTTTTCTTATGAACACAAAACTTCTGACTTGAGATGGTAGTTTTCGAGACCAGTCAAATCCTCGAAAAGCGCTGAAAAAGTATAAAAAAACCATGACTTTTCTGAGTGGCATAAATTTTACAGCCCAGAATTTGAGCACAGCCGCTTATGCAGGGGAGCTTACCACAACCCATTCTTCTTATTGAACCCAACATCTCAGATATGAGTGGGTAGTTATCAAGAAACTGAAAAATTCCAAGAAAATGGGCCAAAATTCCTCCCACGCAATTTACTGTAGAAAGTGGGATAACGTAGAAAAGGACAAAGCAATTATGAAAGCAGACTGGGGAGTGGGCGGTATTTTAATTGGAAACACTTCTTCGAAAGTCGATTGAGTAGTTTTTGAGAAACAATAAAACTTGAAAAAAAACTAAAAGAAACTGCATGAAACGCGTAACAGATAATATAAATTGCATTTGAAAAAACGGAAAATCAACCGACATATAATTGAAAAAGTTAAATACTACTCAAATGAACTAACAAGTAGTTTTATGTGATTCTTTCAAGAAATTGAGCATGTCAGCAGATATGAAGAAAAAGCAGAAATGTGTAAGAAAGTTGTTTAAGGGGAAAAAAGTCTAGTTCGATTACAAGTCACTTGCTCTCGCAAGTGAAATTAAATAACAATTAATTCAACTAACATAATCAAATCTGTCCTTGCTGAGCTGGTTCATGAGACGTAAGAAGGAGAACATGGAGAACCAAATAGACCATAGTATCAGCTGTCCAAACTGGGTGACATTGAGCACTCCAAAAATGAAGATGAATTTGTAGAAAACATAATTCCAAAATGAGTCACGCATGTTCTGAAACAGCACACATGATTCAAAACTTAATTATACTCGATTTAGTTGAAAAAAACTGGATTTGCGATTCGCATAGGAAAATGTTCAGCATGATGCCAAAGAGGCAATATTGATTTACGAAATACCCAAATGCAGAAAAAACTATGAAGTTGGAAAAGAAGTTGCCAAATGATGAAGTTGGAAAAGAGTCAATGAACGCACGTAAACCAAAAATAACGCTGACTGTTTTTTGGAAAAACCTCAACTTTCGAATTTCAATGAAAAAAAGATGCACTTAAAGATCTGAAATTGTAGAACAATTTATGAGCAGCACCTTTTTGATAAAATTAACTTAATTTGAGAAAATTGGATCAATGTATTTTCATTTCGCTGGGAAATCTGAAAAATAAATTCCACTTTCGAAACTAGAAGTCGATCACATTTTTTGTGATCTTTACAATTTCGCAGTTCGATGGTGGAGATTACTTTCCTTTTATCAAATGAAATTAACTGAACTTGAAAAGAAATCATAAGTCAAGCAGCGAAAAAGTAAATTTGAGCCTGAACAAATTTTGACTTTCCCTGAAAAAAAATCATCGCGACCTATATAAGAGTCTTAAGTACGTTCATCGACTCATGACAAGTTTCTAACCGGCAAATATTTTATTACCAAGCAGCAACTACCTCATAACTAATAAACAAACCTGTCTCTCAGACACTCGAAGCTCTCCAAAAATCATTCTCTGAACAGATCGGGCGACCAAAAGCAAGGAGCAATATCCCAGATTGATCAAGCTCTAAAAACATATTCAATCTTGGGTCAACACGGAACAGCATCACACGAAAAAATTACAAGTCACTTTAAAATACTAAAATAACTAATCATTTACCCACACAACCAGCGAGTTCTGGAGGAGAAACGCACAATAAAAAGGGACCTGCTTCCATTCTTTTGGGAAACCACCGGGATATTTCTTACTCAGTTCAGCTAGCAAAACTTCAGGACTCTGATCCTGCAGATGTCCCATGTCAAAGTAATCGAAAATATAACTGTAACGGGATTGTTCGTGATTGTCATCTGTTTGTAGCGAATCCTCTGTATATCCCTCGAACATCGAGTTTAACCATGATTTGACAGCACTGTCGACAAGTTTATGTGAGTTCAGTAGAGCTTGTGAGTGCTGTGAAATACTGCTTGAGAAACTAGTCAAGAGGGAGCAGTTGAACACCGCTCCTAGAAAAAGTCCGAGAGAGAGAACAGAGTAGGTGCGGAAGGATGGCAAGGGCAGGTGAGAATGTGCCGCCCACGACACCCAATTGGGCATTTCAAAATCAATCTGAACATAGCCATTTTGATTTCAAACGATCAGCATTTTATTCAAAAAAAATTTGAAGAATTCTTAACTTACTTTGATGGCTTTTGTTTGGTTTCCACTTCGTTTCAATTCAGAACATTGTCTGAAAAATTATCATAAAGCACGAACTGACAGTATCTGTTTTTCCAAGTTATACATGAACATGAGTAATTCAGGTGGCAGCCAACAGTGCTGCAAGTGATTGTTGCCAGTTTCAAGCCAATTATAGAACTGACTGACAAATCAGTTGGACCCGATACTTCAAAACTACGGTCTTGTTGCCTTCCACTTGGAGTACTCGTGTATAAAAAACCTGGAAGTTTTTGGAAAAATAGATAGTGTTCCGAATGGGGCTCCAAGCAATCTCACCTAACAGCCTGTATAATAAAATACAAAAGAATGATTAACTGAAACTACTTCCATTAAGCGTAAAGCAACTCAACACATGTCCCAAAAAATGAGGGGCTAACTGTGTCACTGTTTTCGTGGTAAGAAAATAATAACTACTTTTTTCAAAAAGGCAATTAAAATGGGCCCTTCAGTCATGCGATGTTACGTGCACAAGTTGATAGGGCCGTACCAACGCTATATAAATACATCGGCAAAATTTTATGAATAAATCAAGTCGATATTAATGCATCAAGAGAATTATCAATTAAAATCTACCCTCCTCGATTATAGCACAGATAGAACTGTCTATGCTGGATGTATTGTAAAGATTTTTGCACCCTGTGACATTCGACCAGAATGGCCAAAATGCAATCTCTGCAGACTTCGAAATTTTAGCAGTGAACCTTCCGAGTTAATGATTTTGAAGGATTAACGACGTTATTGGAACGTTTAGCCAAACGGTGAGGGCTAGAATATTCTAGTATTTTAAATTTTCAAAAATTCGAATGATGACGTCACATTTCTGAGAAATGCTGAAACGGCCATTTTAACAAAAGGAGAGAGAAAAAACACAACAACTTTATCTGCGATTGCGAACAGGACGAAAATCGAGATTAAAAAACGACAACGAACTACAAAATAGCAGAGAACGTTCCGAGTTGCAACTATTGTGCTGCTACAATAGTTGCAAGGCCGTTGCGAACAACGGTGAAGGGTAAGAAGCCAGCCTTCCGGATTAGGAAGAAATCAAAAGTAAGGAGCTTGATTCAGCGGATTCAAGAATCCGGAAGGGTCTCGGGACGGAAACTTTTATTAACTCATATGAACTTTTAGCATCCTGTCATGTCCTGACTTGAATTTAATTGATATTTGGATTAGTTTTGACAAGGATGAGGTGCTAAGAGTTGGGGGGAAAGGGTTGATCCATCTTCGATGGAGATGATGATTTTTATCTACTGAACAAAAACAATAGTAATATAATAAGTACTAGCCCTGTTTTTAGGAGTGACCTCGTGGTCTGGGGATACTGAGACCCAGCCATGAGCTCACTATTTTTGCATGTAATTCAGTTAATTTGAGCGTTCTGGTCGAAGCCGGAGAACAGTAACGTTTTTGTCGACCCGATGTTAGAAAAGACCACCGAAAAGTACTGGCTTGGTAGAGACGGTGAAAAACATGCGAAGCTCTGTTTAGACGCTAGCCAGTCGTCTTAAGACTTAGTTTTGTTATCCGTCGATATGTATCTTCCGGGCGAATGTTACATGTATGTTTTTATGGCGCTCCTGGGTGTTATTTTTTCATAACATCATGACCGGCGGAACCGTTAACGAGCACTCCGCGCCGAGCGGATGCTCACATTAACGCTCTTAATAGGCCTAAACTGCCGGGGCGGAAGGGTAGTTCGGAACGCGGAAGCCTTCCGGATTACCGTGAATAGTTTTTTAACCTAGTTAAGACCGAAAATTCACGAACCAGGAAGGGTGGGGGGAATCATGAACCCCTCATCCCCTGAGTGGTTTGTGACCAAAAACACTTAAAGATATAAGCAAAACCAAACAAAAAGTAGTATAGTACCCAAGAAAAACAAAAAAAATAAAAAATAACCGAAAAAAAAAAAACCAAAAACAGTAAAAAAGTAAAAAATCAGTAGAGATCATCCCCCCAGACAAGATGTGATTCAACCCCCCCGTTTGTTGTTGATAGATATTTTGTTATTACAGGCATTTATATCTGTATGAAAAACAACGAAAACAGACCGGTTTTTAGGGTCAAAATAGCGATATTTTGATCCCCCCACAAGTCGCGATTTTTGAGATATCGATATTTTTTGAAACGGAAAAAAGCGCTAAGTTAGTGTGTTACATCGTAACTGCACTACTGTAATAAGTAGAACCGGTTAACTTTAGTTCGGAAGTGGTTGGAACTAGTTTGGTACAAAAAACCAAATATTCCCATTTTTTGATAGTAAGAAACACTATAAAATCAGAAAATTTTTTGAAATCTTTGAGTCAGGACAGTAAAAATAGTTGTTCGGACAACGTCCACTAGTGAATCTACGAGTTTTAAAACCGGCTACCCGAAAGCCTTCCGGGTTGCAGAGAAATCGAACATAACGTGTTTGATTTGGTGGATTCATCAATCCGGAGGGGTCCAGGTAGCATAGTTTTTCGCAAATTTTTTCTACAAAAGCGTTTTAGATCGGGTCTTTTGCATTGAACTAGAAGAGTATAGGCCTTCTGAGCTCAGATCAATAATTTTTAGGTCGAAAGGACCAGATTTGCGGAAAAAGTTAGGCGGAACCTATAAGAGAGAAAATTTTTGAGTTTGGAAAAAAGACGTTTTGGTTAATAACTTTGGAACTACAGAGCATATCGAGTCAATCTTGGTACCATTAGATCAGAAATTAGCTGAACTTACTAGTAGGAAAGAGAATTACTCGAAAAAGCGAGCGAGAAAATTTTTTGAGATTGTTTTTAGCAAATTACACAAATCCGGAGGGGTACACCCTTCACGTTTTATAAATTTTTCTGCAAAAAAAACCCTTATACCCCTACCAAAAGTTGATAGCGATTAAACTAAGTAACTTAGGACAGTTCTAGACAAAAAGGGAGGGCTGAAGGCACAAGACAACCATAATAGAGTCGAAATTACGCAAGTGATAAGACCCTTCACCGTTAGTGTGAATTGTCAAATAAGTGCCCTAACTTCAATCCGGAGGGGTCTAGGAAAGGACCCTATACCCTTCCCAGTTAATTCAAACAGCATAAAAGCAACGCAGAACGTATCCGGAGGGGTATAAGCTGAAATTAAGAAAACTACGAAAAGCTACTTTGACAGAGCTAAGGGCTCCCAATCCGGAGGGGTCGAAATTTTTCAAAGTCAGAGGGGTCCGAATCCGGAGGGGTCTACTTTCCACAAAACCGGAGGGGTCCGAATCCGGAGGGGTCTTATAGTTGCTAATTCGGAGGGGTCCAAATCCGGAGGGGTCTACTATTAACTAACTCGGAGGGGTCCAAATCCGGAGGGGTCCATATTCTGACAGTCCGGAAGGGTCCTATTTGTGCCAATCCGGAGGGGTATCATTTTTTTAAGGACTTAGGTAAACGAAAGAAAGACTAAAAAGCGAGAGGTATTAGGTTATTAATACACAGGCTAGGTATCAGTGACTGCACTGGTAACTTGCCTTTCAAAAAGAACCAGACTAATACAAAACAGGTCCGAACTCGGATATTCGCGACACTAAGTCTAAATTAAAAAGAGCGTGAGTCATTGGTGTGGATTGGAACATAATACGTTTTTGGGAAAAGTGACTGCCCTGAGGATTTTAGTAGGTCTAGCTCGGGCAGTCCGAAGTCAGATAGGTAACACAGTACTCGGTGGGTGCAATAGACGCCCACTTGAGAAAATAACTGCCTTCAAAGTCTTTTCTGTTTGGTGCAGCACCAAGCAGGGAAAGCTTTTTCTTTAAAAGACAGGTTCGACTATTGTACTGCGACCGACTAAGAGTACAAGACACATACGTTTTTTTATATATACATTCATATTGTGTCAATATATATTTTTTGTTTTTGATTTTAAATCAACCTAAACTGTGTTTGATTGGGTAGTGAGTACACTATCTTTTAAATTGACTGATAACATCATATTGTGCTAGTTTCCAGATCTTTGGACCGATAATCGGCTAGTGTGAATAAATTTTATACAAACTGTACTCTGACAACATACAGGGATTCGTGGTCACTATTTAATAGAATCTGGTGAAATTTATTGTGTTGTGTCATTATTATTGTTAATAAAACTATAAGGTCTCTAGCAATTGAGTCAAGAGTAGGCATAGGAAAGTGACAAATAAAAAATGAGTTTAGACAAGTCAAGGATACCAAAACGAGGTAATAGCTCTAGGAAATTCATACCTGAAAAGCAAAGAAAAACGATGACCGATCCTTTTGTAGATTGGATCAAGCGATCCCGGTCTGACAAAAGGGGGACGGTTTCAGGCAGAATGGTTGAAACGAGAAGTCAAAAGACCTCAGAAGAGCGAAGAGAACTGTTAGAAGTGGAGGTCAATACGGACCATACCATGAATGACAACCAGGAAGTAAATGGACTGGAAGGGAGAGGCAGACGGCTGGCGAGTGAATCTACTCCGGTAGAACAAGGCCACGATTTTGCCACTTCCACCGGGACATTGGATCGGGAAGAGATGTCGGAACTGTCCGACATCTCAACTGAAGTAGCGACAACTAGAAGATCTCCGACAGACAACACTATGATGGCAAGCGGAACTGGGAAGCAAATAACGTCGTCATCGTTTTCAGAAAGAATGAAGAACACCTTAGGAAACTTCTTTCCATTCAGCATGGGAGGAGGAGCAGGAAACGATGGTGAGTCCCAGGAGGATGAGGAAGATGAAGAAGAGCAAGGGGACTTTGGATCTCAAGTCAGCCTCAATAGCTCGATCCAGGAGAGTGAGGCACACGTCGGAAGAGAGACTGGAACCATGGACAAATTTGGTGTAGTGACAACGATAAGCAAGGAGGCAAACACACCAGGCCAGTCAAAAGACTTCGCGATTAGAGCAAGTTTGGAGCCACAACCTGGTGAGAATAAAACCAGAGGGCTCGGCAACGCGTTAATTGATCCTGAAACAAATAAAGAAGGGATGTTGAAACAGAGGGTCAAGGCCCGGATCTCGACAAGCACGAAGTTACC